GGAGGGCAGTGACCAAGCAGACCTTGGGCCACGACTGCCACCTCCCGCCCTGTCCACTCGCGGTGGGCAGTGACAAAGCAGGCCTCGGGCCACGACTGCCACCTCCTGCCCAGTCCACTCGTGGTGGGCAGTGACCAAGCAGGCCTCGGACCACGACTGCCACCTCCCGCCCCGTCCACTCGTGGTGGCCAGTGACAAAGCAGGCCTCGGGCCCCGCGTGCCCCCAGGGGCGTCCCTCATCCGCACCAGCAGCCCTTGGACTGTAACCACATTTTTCTTGTCTCTGTGGTTCTTTCCCCTTGTGCTTGTCTTATTTTGCCTGCTTTCTTTATTTGACTTTGATCTTGTAACAGGCCCATGGAACCTTGAACTCAACCTTTCCGGGGCCCGCCACGCTGTGAGATGGATACAACTGTACTGAACACATTCCCAACAAAAGATGACCAAACAGAAGCAAATAATATCATAAGTAAGGCTCCAGAAAAATATGTTGCTATATGCTGCCGAGACAGAAGTGGCTCACAGCTGAGCCCCTCACTGGTTTCTACGGCTGTACACAGCACAGGGGGAGACCGCCCACACTGTCCCAAGAGCTGCAGGTAGATCTGAACCGAGGTGACAGAATTCTCTACCACTAGGTCATGAGAGTTTCCTGTAGAACACAGAACAGGCAACGATTCTTTCTAACTGCAGCATGGACAACAATGCTTGGACACAGTGATGAACTCAGAGCGTGAAGCATCAGTTGTGAGGAACAGGGATTGGTGGAGAGGAACGGAATTCCAACAGAAGAGAGTACAAGCACAGAGCCGAATCAGGAAAACACAAAACCTGCCCAGAGGCTCTGGTCTGAAACTGGGCTGGGCGTGTGTGAGGGGGCCTGGGCAAGCCCATTCTTCTGCACACCAGGGCGCTTGGAGATTAGGGAATAAGCAAGTGAGTGGCATGATGAGAAATATTAGTTATACTCAGTAGTTGGGCTGTAACACATAGATGAACCCAAAGGCAATGACACTAAATCATTAACAAGTAATTGAACAAGAGTCACTAGTTAGGAGAGTTTGGTGAATGGCGGGAGGGAGAGGAAAAGAAAAGAAAAGTCCATGAATTAAACACAATGAAAATAAATTACTGTATGTGAATCAGGAAAAAAATTAAAAAAAATATTTACTAGTTAAGAGGCAAAAAAATGAAGTATCCCCCCCCAAAAAAAATGGATTAAAAGCAATGAATATGAGAAAAGTGCATATAATCTCCCACTAATTTGAATTTAAGAAGCCCGGGTATATAATCTCCCACTAATTTGAATTTAAGAAGCCCGGGTATGGCAAGTGGTGTACAGTGACAGCTCCCCAACCTAGAGAACAGCAGGTCAGACTCGGCTGGCAGCTCTGTGGAAGAGAAGGCCTAGCGGTCTGTACTCCTCCTGAGGTAAGCGAGTTGTTGTTGTTGTTATGTGCCGTCGGGTCGCCTGCGACTCATAGCGACCCTATGTACAAAAGCCCTAAATTCCGCTCTATCCTGTGCCAATCGCACTGTCTCTGACACTCCCATCCCAATTATCCCAGTCACTGAATCAATTCACCTCATAGAGGGCCTTCCCCTCCTGCGCTGTCCCTCCACCCTCCCAAGCATGATGTCCCTCTCCAAGGACCAGTCTCTCCTCACAACATGTCCAAAGTATGTTAGACGGAGCCTCAGAATCCTTGCCTCCAAGGAGCCACCCGGTTTAACCCTTTCCAGGACAAATCTGTTTGTTCTCCTAGCAGTCCATGGTATTCTCAATACTCTTCTCCAGCACCACAGCTCAAAGGCATCAAATCTCCTTCTGTCCTCCCTGTTCATTGTCCAACTCTCTGATGCATAACAAGTGATTGTGAAGACCATGACCTGTATCAGACGCACCTTAGTCTCCAGAGAGACACCATTGCTCTTCAGTACTTTGAAGAGGTCCCTAACAGCTGACTTTCCCATGGCAATGCGCCTTTTAATTTCCTGGCTGCTGGTGCCAAGACTGTTGACTATGGAGCCAAGCAAACTAAAGCTGTGTACAATCTCAATCTCTTCACCATCCATGAGGTAAGTGAGTATGTCAAGCTAATGCAAAAGACCTCACTCACCTCAATCCACTCTGTTTCCGGTTTTCTCTGGGGCTCTGATTCCTCTGACACATTTTCATTTTAAAGTAGAAAGTGACTAATTACATACGTAGCAGAGCCTAACCACAGTCCTTACCCACAGTGTTTGGGACTAGAGAGAGAGAGAAATGTCAGGGACCAGATGCCATGGCCTCCTAAGAACACCAGTCCTCTTCCTGTGGACATGGACTGGAGGGCAGCCAGGCGGGGATGCACGAGGATGTGGGCAGCATCACGAGACACCAGTGCTTTCCAGAGAACTGGCTCATTCACATATCCCAGCGATTCAGTCACTAAAAACTACACAATGTGTTACTGCTTACAGTTGAAACATAGCTAATTTAGGCTCTACAATAACCCCTGAGGTACTCAGTGTTATCCCCATTTTACTGAGGACAAAACCAGAGGGAAAATGTGCTGGAAGTAACTTGGCAAAGATCATAGCATGTATCAGCTAGAATTTATCTTTGGATAGAGCAGGATTTAGGGCTATTGGACCTAGCATTGCTACGAGTCGCACATTACAACAACAACAAAAACAAATGTCATCTCCTTTCCATCAAGTGACCAGAAAAAATAAGGTCTAACGTGTAAAATCCATAATGTTAAGTTTTAAATAAGTCACCGCTCTTAATCACATGGGAAAGCCAGAGAAGAGGTTCCCTAACAGCTCAAGTTACTTCAAAACCTAAGAAATAAGGAAAGTGGGAACAGGCATGACATCTGTAAGTTAATTCAATCAGAAGAGAGTCAAATGTAAAAAAGCAAGAATTAAATTTTCCTAGAGATACCAGTGTAATTACTATATAATATGCTCTTAGTCAGAAAATAAAAGCACATGCTTTGAGTAATTAATTATTAAAAATTGACAAAACTTATTATGCCCAAAGCATGCATGTCAATGATGAAGAAAGCAACATTTTTACCAGTTTGTGCAGCCTGATAAAGACCATGAACTGATAACCACTGCGGACCAGAAAGTGAGACCTGGAAACAAAAGGGAAGGATCGTGAGCTGGAAAATACCAGCTCTGGTATAGAAATGACATCAGAGGCCACATGACAGAGCCATGCAGTTGCAATGACTGATTCATCACAAATACTTTCCTTATTAACAACATAACCAGCCACTATTGACAATGACCTCACCAGAAGGGACACAAAGGAAGCAAATTAATAAATCTATGGAAGGAGATGAAAAAGTTTAATATCATCAATGAGAACAAGGCATATCATTAACTGCCTATGTACAAGTTCCAGGTGAAGCTGAGGAAAAAGAAAAAAAAAAGTCAAGAGTCAAAGTATGACCTTAATGATAACCCACTTGAATTGACAGACTATTTAAGACAAGGTATGTTATAATGAAACTAAAGGCCCGAAACTAGATAAATTATGAAAAGACAGAATGTATGAAGAAACCAAAAAGTTATTTAATATGAGAGGAAAGAGAGAAAAGACAGAAATGGATGTTAGAAGAATCTGGGGCTCAATCTTGAACACACAGAATCTAAAGGAAGGGAAGGGATGATGCCAGAGACATGGAGCTAGAAGCCAGAGGGAAGGGCGCACCTTAAGAGTTCACAGGGTGGAGAACATGGAGTCCACATAGGTTGCATTACTGAAGGACGTATACACCACAAAACTGAATGACATCAAGAGAAGAAGAAAGGAGTACACAGAGTTGCCTTATAAAAACCCGGGTAGACATGTAAGTATCTCGGGGAACAGTAAATGAATGAGAGCAAATGCCTATGAAAGGAAATCGCAGCTGGGATAAAACACAAGGCTCCAGGAGCTGGTGGAGTTCCAAGTGAGAGGCTTCAAATAGCATAGCATCGATAGCCTGTGCTACTCAGAGGATCGAACCCCGCTTGGAGACACTTAGGAAGAAACACTGGTGAAGATTCAAAATGACGTTGTGCAGTACGGACAATAGCTCAGTATCCAGGAGACAAATCCTTAACCACTGAATCAATCCACCACATCACGATAACCAGGGACAAGAGCTTTCCAAGGATTTCATTTTCCTTGGGCTCCCAATCAATTCCCATGGAAGCACCAGTCAAGAACTCAAATGGCACGCAGGCTGGGGTGCTGCCAGGATGTTTTTTTTTTTTTTATTTTTTTTTTTTTTTTTTTCTTTTTTTTCTAGGCTGTTTTTTAAACGCTAAAGCATAAGGAGGACCCACACGCATGGTAGTATCTCTGGTTGTTTTATATGGTTGTGAAGCTGGACAATGAGTAAAGAAAGAGAGAAAAATTAGTTCCTTGGAATTACGGTGCTGAAGAACATGAATACACCACTGAGGGCCAGAGCCCAGGCAAAGCAGTTCCGGAAGGCGTGTAGGTACAGAGCCCTTCGGCAGGAAGGATGGCGAGGTGTCACTGCACACGTGTTGGTTTATGATCAGAAGAAGACAGTCCCGAGAGGCAGACCAGGTGCTTGGTAAAGAAGTTCAGCACAAGCACAGGAGAGCCCTCAATGAGCTGGACTAACACAGGGGACATCAGCAATGGCCACGATGGGCTCGAGGGGGCCGCGAGAACGAGGACAGTTCAGGAGAACGAGGACGCTGCATATTCCCTGTCCACGGAGCACGTAAGGCTGGGAACCAACTCAAGGCACCCGGCAAGAGCAACAAATTACAAGATAATCAGCATTTTAATACGGTCTTCTGAGAAACTGAACAATGAAACATATACTCTAAGAACGGAAAAGAAGTCTTTCTTATAAAATATAGGCCTGTGTGTGCAGAATATTGCATTCATTTAAGACTCCCCGACAGAATTTCTTTTTACTCGAGTTCCAAAGCGGTGACACCATTTGAGTCACTGAGAGGAACTAGCTGCTTGTTCTACGTACGTTCTCTTGACATCTTGTTCAATCATTGATCGGAGTTCTTTATCTTGGAAGAACTTGTTCCAAAGACTCTGAAATAAGGAGAACAATCAGCTTAAAACCCCAACGATTAACAATTATTACTGAAAACTATTAATTTAAATTAGTAAGTTTTACCTTTCTCAGAATCATGATTTCACATTGCAAATAAGGAACTCAAGGATAAAGTATATAAAATCTAGCTTAACCTCAAAAAGTGTTTCACATAATAGCAATCCTTCCAGGGTGATAAGACTATATTCTTTGTCTAGAAGGAGTTCGGGTGGGAGAGGATGAAACCAAGTCTCTCCTTGGAGGCTAGAATTTTGAAGCTCTGTCTCACATACTTTGGGCATGTGGCCAGGAGAGACCGGTCCTTGGAGAAGGACATCAGGCGCAGAAGGGTGGATGGACAGAGCAGGAGAAGATGACCCTGAACGTGATGGATTGATACAGTTACTGGGGCAATGGGGGCGCTATGGGTTGCAGGTGACTCAATGGCACATAACAACAACAATCTGTTTATAATCTATTTAAATGAAACAAAGTCTGCCAGGACTACCAATCCATTCGGCTGATGTCAGTGATCGGAGGCCAAAGAGTTCTAGCAATAAGCAGCCTTGGACTCCCAGCACAAGTAGAAAGAGGTGTAAAGTTTTCTTCAAAGCTTGGCTTTATAATTCACTCTATTTTTAGGTACTTAAAAAAAGATGTAAATTTAGTTATACTTTTAAACATTTAGGGAAATATTATCTAGCCACTGCCCCACCTGGAAGCCAGCACACACTGCTGGCCCACTGCCTTTCTAAATAGGGGGCCAAATACAATCAATTCACTCCCGATGGCTGATAAACATTCCTCAGCACTGCTAGGGAGTTATAGTGCCAACCCAAAGACACACGGTTGACACTGACCAGGCGCTCTGGGGGAGAAAGATGGGCCGTCTCTCTCCAAATGTGATCTACAGCCTCTGAAAACCAATGGACGGTCAGCTATGAGTTGGTTCTGACTCAACGGCACTGAGTTACGAGATACGAGACTACAATATACTGATCACATGAATCAGACGAAGAAACACTCACACTCTGCATTACATACTAAATGATGAGCATCAACTGCTGAGATGTGAATCCTTTAAGTGGAATTATGCTACATTTTTAAAAAAGTTTTCACAGATCCACGACAGACTCTCCCTTTCTTTCTGGGAGCTGGCCCTGTTGCGAAGTCCTTTCTATTTTTATCACGCAGAGACTCTGCAGCTCCCCGCGAGGCCTTCCACACGTCTCCAGTCCTTTCTCGTTTATCCTTAGATCTCACAGACCCTCGTTCCACAGGAACAGAGGATAAACTTCCCGTCGCATTATGCATATAGGAGAGAATCATTCCCATCAGATTCAGGGTGGGTAAAGGAAACGGTGAACACAGAAACCATGCTCTCACGGTGATTCAGGTAAACATTCTCAGGAGCACATTCTTCTTTTTTTAACAAGCATATTCTTACGGGTAAAGAGGTGAGGGGCAGTGAGCACATCAAGCCAAGCCTTACCCCTTCATCCTGGGAAAGGGGATTATTGATCATCAAGTCCTGCTGGCCGACAGTTTTCCTCGGGTTTGTGATGTGCTGGTGGGGACACAGAAATCACATGCTCAGACAAGGCTAAGAGGCGACAGGATCTGAAGCGCACAGAAGAAAACCACCCCATTAACGAGAAGTCAACTTACGATTTCTTTAATGTTGCTATACCAGCCTCGTAATTCTTTAACTCTACTTATCCACTGACTTTTATCTTGAGGAAGAACACAAAGAAAAAGCTGTAAGGAAAAAAAAGAAAAGAAAGGACAATTTCTATAAATCTCTTAGCAGTAAAATGTGATTTTTTTTTCTACTTCTATGCCCAACTGAAATATATTCATATTCACACTATTTTCACATTCATCTCTCTCATTGTAGCTCCCATTCATTTACATTTAGGAATATATATAATACATGCAATTAAAAAAAGCAATTAAACAGAAACAGAAGATCCCCAAAACCTATACCACAAGTGGAATCAATCGTCCCTCAAGATTAATATTAAAATTGAATGATAAAAAAATGGAGATTGAAGTATATATAATTCAGATACATGTAACTATTAACAGACTGTCCCACCATCAAGGTATCTGTACGGCTTCATAGTAAGCCCATAGGAGCCCCCACCCCCGGACTGCCCCTGGGAGTCTTGAGGCTGTAAATATTAATGGGGAAGAATGAGATGTTTAGGGACATTAATAAGCATAAGGTTCAGAATTTCAAGGTTCATTTTTGTTCTAAAATAAACAGGCAACGGACAGAGAGCAGTTTAAGGACACAGTCTAAAAGTGAACTAGATCCCGTTACAGCAGAAATTGTAATCCACGGCTTATGAAAATAACAAGCATCTCTAAAAAGACAAATTTTATTTAATTTAGTTTAATACAGCATTAAAATAAATCTGGATTTGGCCTTGTTTTTAGCACAGAAAGGACACTAAAAGTTAAACAAAAGGGAGTCGGGGTGGGGCACAAATATTTGTGTACAAATATTCTAGCAGCAGGTCTCCTGCGTTTACTGCCAACAGAAGAAAAATGTATTTTAATTATTAAATCTAAATTATTAAATCTAAAAGTGTCTAATAAATCATGTGTTTCTTACTGTCTTTACTTGCATACTTAGTATGCTCAAATACTGCAAATAACCCTAAAAACTTTTGACAGAAGTTATTTCTGCAAAGAGTCCAAGCCTAAATTAATTACAGGAGAACAAAAAGGGACATTAGTTCACAGTAATTAAAAGGTAACTGCCAACTATTCTTATTAGTGTGGGTAGCCAAGGCTCTTTCTCTTGCAAACACTTAACTTCCTTCCGCTTTTGCTTGTCATTCTTCCACTTTGTGTTTCCAGAGCTTAAAAAAAGGTGAAACATTCCTTCCATCTGCTCTGGATGAGGAGGCAAGGTGAGGGTGCAGAAATGCTGGCACATGCCAAGGTGGGCATCCCAGACACTCCTGCCCTCACCGGCCACTCCAGGGTCCCTGGGATAGCCCCCAGGGGTGGAGAGCCTCCACTCTGACTTCTGCACCTTCTAGGACATGCAGGCAGTCACTGCACTGATATCCCACTGCCAGCAGGGACTCGGGACAGGGACCCATCCCATGAGTGAAAGTCTCCTAATCACAATAGGAAGGAACAACAGTGTGAAACATCAAGTCTATGAACTTGGTGAGCAAACCAAAATAAAAGAAACAAGGGGCGGGGCGAGTCTCCTGAACGCCAGGGGATGGCCAGAACCTGGAAGTGTGACCTCGGGGAGGACCCAGGTCCCAGCAGCGGGCTCCCCGCCTCAGGTAGGGCATTGACAGGGGGCCCCCACAGACCGTAAAGAAGTCTTTTCTTCTTACCTTCCAGCAAACACTGCGGAACCTGCTGCTTCTCAGCTGCCCATTAATCCCCTTCAGCCTTATTGTTGCCAAGTAATTGCTGTTTACAAACAGGTCTTCCCACTCTCTCCTAGAAGCCAGAAACCAAAACACACGAGGACCCTTTTGTTAAAAATCCTCTGCTTGGAGAAGACTGTTACAGCAAATCCATTTTAAAGAAACCTAAGGAATGCAACTTTTAAAACGTGTCTATTTCGTTGTGTACTGTTTCTGAATGCATGGCTGTCTTTTTGGACACAGTTCTTCTGTCGATTTAATGAATATGTAGATCTCTATAATGATGCCAGCTACTGAAATTCATAATGTCTATGGAGGCTATTCTATTTCCTCTAAAATGGTGATAGTGCAGTTCAGTGAATAAACAAGAAAAAAATTGTAAATTACTAGAAGCATATGACTGCTCTGGCCAGTGACAAAGATACACCTGCCCTAAAAAATAGCCACCAAAAAATGTGAGCTGTGGGCTAGACTGGCTTCTCACACCAAATACCTGTTTCAGTGAATCTGTTTCCCTCCATGTCAGGAGGGGCAGCGAAGAAGAATAGAAGACTACTTTCTTGAACTTTTACTGCTATTTACTATTGAAATCTCGGCAACTCCTTTCTACACGATCAGTTTCAAAATTTTAACAGGTGCGGGCGAATTTGAAAAAACATCAAAAAATGAAAAAGCCTCACTGGATAAACTGTTAAAGGCAAGCTTGTGTACCTAACCGTACCTATGTCTGCCGAGAAAAACGACTGAAATATGCCTCCCAGGCACGCAGACACCAGGGGCCTAACACCTGCGCCTCATTAATATACAAGGAAATCTGCTCTACTGGGAAACAATTGGAAATTAATTGTCCCAAACCATTTACTGAGTGTGAATAAAGAAATTAGCCCTGTATTTCCTGTATCTTGCAGTAAACCAAACAGCAAAAATTACTTGTCCACAGTTGAGGTGAGCATTTTCAATTTATAAAACTCTCCTCAAATTCCAAAAGGCTATGATAAAATAAATTCAACATTTATCATGTGCTGTCAACACTGAGATCCTGGCAAGCTCCTAAGGTGGTTCGAAAGCTCTCGGTCACCCGCCTGTCCACAGGCAGGTCACACTGGCCACACCTCAGTCCTCCTCCGAAAGGCCAGTCGGTGCAGCTGATGTGAGCCTGACACATGAACACACGCACGCACACAAAGCAAGCCCCATCCTCTCTCCCGACTTCCAGGGGAGAGACTGCGGCAATGGCCCACGCTCTGGGCTGACACTGGCAGGAGACTGTGGCTTCAGCACCACAGCGTTGACCCTGGATGCCACTGAACCCTTTGCCGGGGGGGACAGTGGTTAAGGATTCATATCCCCAGTCCCCACTGAAGAACTACACCCCTGAACCACGACTCCACAGAAACAGCTTATTCTCATTTCTCCAGACGTAACAGAGAACAAGATTTCATTCTGTATTTTAATTTACATTTTCATGATTAGTGCAATGGGAAAATGTCTCATGCTTTTCAGTAATTTTGAATCACTTCTTCAAAGTTTTCTGCCTTGTTTCCATTTTAAGACATGCTGAATAGCAGCTTAGCCGCGATGGACATCACAGATGCGTGCCTGCGTTCAAATCCAAGTACCGCTACTTACCAACATCTGTGTAAACACGGGCAAGTGACTCCACTGCCCTGTGCCTCCATTTCCTCATGTGTCAAATAGAATCCAATACTGTCTATCTCAAAGAACTAAAAGAGTAAAGACATGAAAGTCCTGAGGAAGGTGTACAACATAATTAAAAAAAAATCTTTTTTTAATCTATACCTGTGTATCAATATTGAGTGTGTTTTTTTATTGACTGAGAGGAAGTCCTCACCCACAGAGACGTTACAGCTATTATGTCCGCCATATGCTTGTGCGCGCGCGCGCGCACACACACACACACACAGCCACACACCCAACTGTCTTAATTTTCAACACACTAAGATTTAATTGTGTTGAGGTTTAATATAGTTTCCATTGTTCTCGTTTTACCTTCCACTGTTTTCACGTTTAAACACTTCTTAGCCACTGTAAACAAAATGTCCAAATGTGAAATGTATTTCATGCCCCAAAGGTATTGTAACGGGTGAGGTCATGCAGTTCCATTTGTCTGAAAACAGTACCAGGACACTCCAGGTAAGACAGGGAAGTAGGGGTACCCGACCCCCAGGCTCCCCCAAACAGCCCTGCCCCCCAGTGAGTGGTGTGACCTGGACTGACAGCCTCAGGGTTGACAAGGACCCCATCAGGCCTACCAGCAACAGCCTCTAAGGCCAAGTTACATCCAACTCGGGTGGTTAAGGGGAATTCTTTGTCAGCTTAACTAGGGCCTCATGTCATTACAGTGTTGGTACAGAGGAACAGAGACAGACGCATATGAAAGGGAAACACAGTTTCCAAAAAGGAAAAGAATTTAAATTTATTCCTGGGCACTTATTGTTCCAATTTAGGTATAACATCTCAGACTGATGAAGTGTCCCGGCCTCGAAGCCACATGATAAACTCCTGATTGTCCTCCTCTTCTATGAACAGTCTCATCTGGAAACAGTGACGGAGAACAAATGTACTAATTTCTACACTTAGCGGAGGCCTCGAGGTAGGGCAGAGGGTTCAGCTCTGGGCTCCTGACTGGAACACTGGTGGTTAAAATCCACACAGGGTGCCTCCTAAGAAAGGCCTGGCTGTCTCCTTGTTATGGAGAGAGGGTCAACTCCACACAATGAGTTGCCATGATGGGCCAGTATGGACTACAAAGGAACTGCTTTCTTCTTAATTTTTTTTCTTATGTGCTTATTTTAAAAAGCATGAAAGAAGGGAGTAGACATATGAATACATCAACAATATGATTAATAATGCACTCCAGTAACACAAATGGAACAAACATCTTCTAACTTAAATACTAAAACACAAGATAAATAGTAATAGACTTCTTAAAGTAAAATGTTGAAAAGTACAATCCTCCTTAGGAAACTGGACAAAACAACTGGATTATATGATCCCAAATACAAACAGGAAAAGGACAGGGAATATGGAGGATTCGATAGTGGAATGTTATAGTTTTTCAAAAAAAGTAAGAAAGAAATAGTTTAAAAGCTTTGTTTCATATTAAATATGCATAATGTCTCTGTAATAATTTACAAAGTATGACAATGACATCATTAAAATGCTAATAAATATCTATTAGCGTAATTGTTTGAGTAAATCACTTCTAACCTCTCTGATAATCATCCAAGGGTAGGCATTTTTAATCCCTGTTAACAGATGAGGAAATTGAGGCTCAAAAAAAAGTAAATAACTTGTCTAGAGAGAAAAATGATTGAGAAACAGGAAAGGCATCTTCCTAGAGTAACACAGAAAATGAGTACCACTAAAATGGGTGGTGCTTTGGAAACTATCAGGGAAAACTTGTCTCCTGGCGTCAAGAGAAAACAGAAAAGCCAACATCAGTGAGTTTTCCTTAGAGTTTTAGCTTTCAAGTACCAAGGTCAAGGACAAAGTGAAGTTTGCATATACTGGACCTACTGGACAGAAAAAAAAGTCCTTATTTGTTAAACTGTGGTTAAGAATCTTCTGCAACATTTCAAGATGCAAACCCAGAGGTAGAGGGACCTAGGTCTTCAGGACTCAGGTGAGAAAGTACTCCTGCCCTCTAATGGCCACTACTCTGACTTGCAGGCACAGGGCCTTGAAAACAATCAGGGCCACTGGTCTACTAACTCAAAGGTTGGAAGTTCAAAGTCCCCAGCAGCCATGCTAGAAAATTATTGTTGTGGTTAGGTGCTGTCAAGTCAACGTGCAGAGCCGCTACAACCTGAACCCTGTCCTGTCCTGCGCCATCCTCACACTTTCTGACACACTACAGCCCAGGGGGCCAGCCACTGTGTCAGTCCACCTGGTTGAGGGTCTTCCTCTCCTTCACCGGCCTTCCTTCTTTCCTTCTCCAAGGAACAGCCTCTCCTAGCAACGTGTCCGAAGTATGTGACACGAAGCGTGATCACCTTCGCCTCCAAGGATCACTCCGGCCGCATGTTCTCCAAGACACATTTGCTAGAGAGAAATGAGGCGACTGCTCCTGGGAAGAGGTGTCCCCTTGTTGGCCAATGGAATGACCAGCTAGCTGCTCCTGGGAAGATGTGTCCCCTTGTTGGCCAAGGGAATGACCAGCAATGGCTGCCTTGGAAGCACTGAGGTCAGAATTCAGAGACTGACTGGGCTCATCAGAACAGAACACGATTTAAAAAGGCTGTCGTTCCCCCACTTCACTGATTTCATCTCCTTGTCAAAGATCAGTTGACCATAGATAGATGGGTTGATCTCTGGATT